GCACGGATTTAAGAGATATGCAGCGTACTATTCTAATTAGTTGGTGATTTTCACAGCGATAGTTGTCTTAATCTAAATACGAGATGGGTTGGCAAGAACTGCCGGCAAATGAACTGAGATCTTGATGGTTCTACAGAATTATGCATATTTTGAATAAGAATTGCAGTGTTATCTTTTAATTTAACAGTTGTACTACCCTCGCTAAACTGTAACCTTTTATTTGAAATGTTGTCTGAGTTACTTTATTTCAGTTCGTAGGATGCTGTATATTTTTTGTAACCCGTTAAAAGGGAAAGTAAGAAATGTTTGGAATTACAGGTTTTCAAAAAACTCATGATAATGACCTCATGCTTATCAATTTTTAACTTGCGCAAGTGTTGGTTATAGTACGGAAAAACTGCGGAGTACTGGATTACTTTACTTAAGTTTACAAATAACACAAAATAAATAACAATAAACTATATATAAAATATTTTTAAAAAATTTCTCGAGGCAAAATTTACTGCCGCACTGTGAGTTCATCAAATAAAATAAAAAAATATTAGTTTGTTGATATTTATGTTTAGAGGTCGCTCGAAAACATAGGTAGGTACACTATCTGAAAGTTAAAATAATTATGAGTGACCTTTAGAAATTAAAACATCGATTTGAAATTTTCAGAATCGAGATTTATTTCAGCTTAGAAATTGATAAAATAATGAGGAAGAAAATTTAAAAATAACTAATTTTTGACGATTTTTCAAATTTTTAAAAATCTTGAGCGACCTCTAAAAAAATTTTTTTGAGCTGATTTTTTGAGGGGAATCTTAAAACATGATAAACTAACATATTTTCACAAGAGAAACGTTATTTTTTTTACCATCCTAAAGTACATATACCTAAAATGTCTGCCAGTAAAGAATATTTTAAGTATCAAATCCCTGTATATGATATTAAAACAAATAGTGATCTATACGGAGTGTCCCGGACAGTAGGGGCAATTCCTTGGATATAGATAGGATTGGATATGAGTACATTTTTTATTATCTTAGTTCTTGAATTTGAGATTTGGAAATCAACTCGTTATAATTATTTCAAATACCGTATTCAATTTACATTTATAGGACCAATTTTTAAATTTTTACAGCCGTTTTCTAAAAGTATCAACATGTTTATCAAAAAGATGTACTTATTTCATGTCACTTTCAAGATAAAAACGATGAAGGTAAAATTCAGATAAAAGCAATGAAGATATAAGCTTTGTTTTGGTTCTTTATTTCTGAACAGTCCAGAATCATCGCAGAACTATAAACGCAATAGACAAAATTCTGAACGATTCGGAACTATCCGGAGTTATTTGAAAACCAGAACGCATTACAAAAATATACTCATAAAACCCAATAAAAAGATACTTTCTTAAATGAAAAACAGGAAATGAAAAAATTATGAATGACAAACGGAGCTTGAGAAAATGGGAATAACTACGCATGCGCCAAATAATACAGTTCTAAGCAATTCCTTTTAGGGAGCTAGAACTATTTCGGAAGATTCAGAATGGTTCCGAATCAAGTTCGAATAAAACCAAAACAAACATCTGTGAAATTTTGAACCGTTCAAAGTAAATACGAACGCATATTTCAGACTGCGCATGATTAGAACGGTTCGGAACCAGATTTTATGGGAACTAAAACAAAGCTATAGATTCCATACTATTGTCAGCATAGTGGTTTTAAAAGTTCCACTGTTGCTTTGCTCATGAGCTTCAAATGCAGTTGTCAGTAAATTGATTATTTTAGTAGAAATAGCTTAAAACTGCATATGTTTTCCTCAAAATCTATACGAATTTAATGAGAAACAAAAAATTCTCGAAGAGCTAATTAATAATTGCTCACCATTTCCTGGACAACCTGTTGTAGCGATCATACACAACTTAAATGTACGATAGATGTAATAAGTAGAGCTTTAAAATATGTGTTTAAATTTATACTATTTATAATTACAGATATTCTAACGAGAAATTTTCATAAAATTTTACTTATCTTGTGATCTACGACGGTTAAGAAGAAAATTAAATGTGGAACTTTTATGTAGGAAATAGGCGAGGTATATGTAGGAAAACATTCCATCCCTCAGAAAAAATGTAAAATTATTGGTCCCTTGTCGAAACAAAGCTAGGCAAGTAAAGGCAGGTTAGGGGTTGCTCGTCTCCTAGCGTCGGTGTTTATCCATAGCTAGTAGCAGAAATAGGCCGGTGTAAAATAATCAAAAAGCCAAGACTTAGCTAATCGAGTGACTACTTACATTGTGAGTAAACGTACTTATGAGAAATATGTGAGTCTAATAATTTTAATGCATTTAAAATACTGTCAAAATGTTTACCGGCGCATTCACCAAAATTTGAAAAAAATATTCCCTTATAATTTAGAATGTTCTACTGAGATTGATGTTAAATGAGAATTATATGTAATGATAGCTAAAATAAACTAAAATTCTTTGTACATTCAGTGGCCCATATTTACTGCATTATTTAACATATTTTACATTATTTATTGCAACAAATTATTGTATAATGCAATAAGCGGTTAAAAAAGGAAATGTTTTTATGCCATAGTAAATAGCAAATAATTAATTAATTGAAATTATTTTTAGAATTTATATATATATTAATTTTTTTCATGTCAACTATTTTTCATATATTTATATGTACAGTGCAAGTAAATAGTTATTAAAATAAGTTTAATTTATTCAGTTTTTAATCCAGTTATTTTCAGATGCGTTAATATTATACACTTTTATTCAGGAACTGAAAAATAAATGTAAAATAGCAACATTTTAAAATAAATTGTATATTAATGTTAAAATGCAATCATTATCCTACAAACTGTGGACGAAATATAAGTATACTTTTTGTTTGTTTTTTGCTCTTGTCTATTAAGAATACGTTTTTAGAAAATTTTCAAGGTATTATAAAGTCATTTTCACATTGTTAAGTGACTATATTTGGATTAAAGTCAATTAAAATAAGTATTCACTTATAACACTCCTCATATTATATTTAAAACAAATCACTAAGTAATGAGAGAACAAAGAAATAATAAAATAAATGTCAAATGGTATCTCTACCAGTGGAAGGAGATAAACAAACTGCCATATTTATTTAAAAGTCAATCTCGAGAAGGAAAATAGACTGATTTTCGAAAGGTAAACTGTCTTATAGTGAAGTGGTTCTGTGTGCACACCTTTTAATATTTTTCCCAACTAAAAATAACTTTAGATTGCCGGAGCAATATTAACAGATTTAATTATATTTTTTAACTTTGGGAAAATTGCTTAAATAAACAAAGGAATAGAAATATAGGACGTCAAAGGTTAAAAAGACTTAACTTTTTTTTTTATTAAAAACGTTTTGGTAACGTAATATTCGCAAAAGTTTGTATAAATTTATTAAACTATTCAAATCATTTGACCGGTTGCCTTTGAAAATTATATTCTAGGTAGCAGGATATAATTGAGTTCGACGCACATTGTAGAGCATCGCATGTTTCGCATCGATGTGACTGAAGTACATATATATCAGTATAATTCTCTAAAATTATATGAATATCTATAATTAAACTAAATTGTTCAAATTTTACAGCGTGGTAAAAACGATTCATAAAATGTGAAAATTGCTTACTTTTTCTACAAATTAAAAGAAATTATTCTTTTTTAAAATTTTTTCATTATCGGTTCAAGTTCAAAAGCTTTTGCTCCTCAAGTTCTTGCAATAAAATCGTATGCAAATATTTGTATCATTGAGATTCATTGTCAAGAAAAGCTCAAATACAAAACACACTACTATTTATTTACTATGTTGAGTAGATACTTACAATTTATGAGGTGTTGAAGTAAATTTTATATTTAAGTAGATATAATTAAAGTAGTAAAAAATTCAGTATCACGAAACTAAGAATAACTTCAGAAATATCAGAAAAACCTGAAAATTAAAAAAAATACTAGTAGACATTTTATTGCAGTTTTTGCGGGGAAGAGTATGTAGAATGATAATATCAAAAAAGTAATTCCAAAAAAGTGACTCTAGGTTGACAAATTGCAAATAAATGCCAAAATTACATGTTTTTTTCACTTTTTTTTACTGCCCATCAAAATCTAGACGACGTATTGGAAAATTAGTTTTTTTTGTGTTGTAGGCAATTCAATTACCTTCAATTAAAGATACCTAAAGTCATTTTTCACCTATTTGTTAATTGTAAAATAAATGTCGTAAGCGGAAAAATCAGTTTTCGAAAATTGCGCATTGTCGTTGCAAAAAGCGATGGATGTTGATGAAATTTATGGAAAAGACGGCCAATCCAATGATCAACTTGTGTACTAAAGGGCGATTCAAGTGATCGTGAAATTGTTATTCCAGCTATTTGTTAATTAATTTCGTTCGTTTATTGTTCGTATGTAAACTAATTGCTTAATTACTAAACGTTATTTTTATAAATTAATATAATAGATGTATGTTCTAATTGATCCAAAGAAACGTATCGAAAAAAAACTTCAAAAAGTTGAAATTAAGTTTTTTCAGGGTCAGACAACAGCCGCTCGAGAATTCGCTCTATTTGCATTAAATAGAGCTTATTTTTACGGTTATTTTTAAAAAAGCATTATATGTACCTACGTATAATAATCCTATATTTATCTTTTTTACATTTTGCTCATCTATGTTTGTTTATAACACTACTGTAGTTAAAAAAAGCAACAGTTATTTTTTTACAAAGTACAATGATGAAGATATATACTTGTTACTATAGATACCCACTATAAAGTTGACGTAACTTTCGATTAGACCGGAAGTTGTATTTGGGTGTCATTTATGAGTTCCGCCTCTAGTTATCCTGTACAAATATAAACTGAAACAATTCAGAACAGTATCTCTCGTAGTAACCTAGACATTTCGACGGCGATGCTTGATCGCCTAGCGTAATTTCTGTGTTTCGCAAAAATAATATTTTTTAATTTATTATCTCTTTCAGAATGGCGTTTTATCATGTTGTTCTTTTCTTCACTATAATTTTCCTTTGGCACATCCTAGCGAACGCTCAAATTTCCTCAGAAAATCAGAAACAGTACGTGTCTCCTGAAAAATCACGAAACCTCTTCCTACACCAACCCATAAGGTCGACCAGAAAGATCTCGCAGAGGGCATTCCAGGACTTGGACCTGTTCACAGCCAGAGGATACGGGAAGAGGGCCAATTGTCCTGGAGGATTCTGTGGAAAACGCATGCCAGCCTTCTCCGGGGCCAGGCTGTACGGCAAGAGGAATAGCGACATCAACCAGTTAAAATGGTACGTAAAGATAACGAAAATAATAAAATAGAAATTTGTTTAAATGAGCGGTTCACGAAAACTATAGAAATAATTTATTGCGTTAGTTGTGATTGAATTTAGCTTAAGTTTACAGTAATTTATTGCGACCAGAATCAATTTTTCACGTCAATCGATTAAAAGTATATTTCCATATTTCACTTGCACGTGAATTGTCAATTTATGTTCATACGCTCATACATTTGTTGCTAATGTTTATTATCATGTCAGGATAATAATTATTTACTAATTTCATCTATTGTACACCCAGCAGTCATTTGCCGATGGTTCTATAATTATAGCCAGGATAATGCAGTGTTGGGCTGCACAATTATCGGTCATATCTTAGGTCAGATCAGATCCAACGGCCTTTCGGACAAAGGTGCTGTCAAAATTGATTTATCCTCCTTCATTAAATTAAATTCAATTGATTAAATTTCAGTTGCTTCGTATATTTATTTCTGGATTAATAAATTTCAAAATCAGTATTCCTTCAATATTATTTCAACCATTTTATAGTCAATATTCTTAACTAAACAAGAACCTCTTGTGCTTTTTTCTGGAACTTTTGGAAATACATATTTTTTATAGCTCTGGAGACATTTTAGTAATTATTTTATAGAACTGATATCCAAATATTTGAATTAAAATGTTACTAATAGATTACTTTTATTTGTTATTTCATGAGAAATTCATTGATTTTATTCTAAAACTAGCCCTTAAAGTACAACAAATTTCAAAAGAAATAATAAAAATTCGGGACAAAGATTTCTACCCATAGAAACAATATTGTACATTATCTGTTGATAAAACTTTGGAAAATGTGTTGTAACTAAAGTAAATTACAGTTTTAGTTTTATAATAATTTACATGTGGAACACTAAGCTGTATCCATCAAACGTAGAATGTTAATTGTTAAGAGTTAATTCGAAAAGTTACTTAAATTAAACTAAATATACTAGTACACCATAGTTATCAATAAAAATCATATGCATTCTTACAAATTATGATGTAACATAATGGGATAAATTGAAAAAGGTATTACAGCGTGGTAAAAAAGTTCTGCATAAAATTCATATTTTCGTTAAACAATTTTTTTTTCGAAAAACGGTGGACCCGTCGATTTTTATTTGATCCAGGGCACCTTGTTATGTGGAATTTTTTTTTTTCGATAATCCGAGCGATGACATAATTTTTTTTTAATGACAACGCATATTTTTTTCGTTCGGAATTGATGACAGTGATAATTATCTAAACAACGGTGTGAAAATTTCGATGTCTTACATAACAATTTTTTTTAGAAAAATGCACCTTAAGTTCTTATAAGTGACAAAGTTGACAAAATGACATTTCAAACGAGTAAAATTACACTAATGTTTGTGTAAGTCTAGCGAAATTGTTCGAATTGCCCACCCTGTACCATTTGGCATTGTCCTAAGCGTGTGTAAACGCCGTCTACACTTCGTTCAAGCATTCCCGGGTCGATTTGATTTATTTCAAAACGAATACGGTTTTTAAGTTCTTCCAAATCACCTGGTCTGTTTGTGTACACACGCGATTTCAAATAGCCCCACAAAAAAAAGTCTAGAGGTGTTAAATCAGGCGAACGCGGAGGCCACTCGATTGTTCCGCGTCGCCCGATCCACCGGCCAGTAAACGTGTTATTCAAGTACTCCCGTACTTGCACTCCATAATGGGGCGGTGCACCATCCTGCTGAAACCAAATTCTTTCCTCAGGAATATCAGGATCCTCGTTGTTCGGGAATAACTCTGCTAAGCTTGGGACCAAATCGAACCGCAGGAAATCCAAATAGCGAGCAGCAGTTAAATTTTCCTCGAAAAAATACGGGCCTAAAATACGACGCCCTATTATTCCCGCCCAAACGTTCACCTTTCGGGGGTGCTGATGATCTACTTCTTGCACCCAGTGCGGGTTTTCCTGAGACCAATACCGGCAGTTATGTCGATGCACCGATCCATTAAGATAAAAAGTAGCCTCGTCAGAAAAAATTATGTTCTTGAGGAAGTCGGGGTCTCCGTTACATCGATGCATTAAATCTTCACAAAAGTGGAGACGGCGGTCTGGGTCGTCCTCAGTCAATGCATGTATCAAGTGACCCTTATAGGGGTGAAATTTCTCTTTTTTGAGAAAGTTCACCACAGTTACATGTGAAATATCATTGTTCAATGCAATCGACCTTGTACTAGAATGAGGGTTGTCCTGGAGCTCCACCAGGATATTCAATCTAGTTTCATCATCTACTCTAGGACGACCCGCACGAGGAGCATCTTTCACACTACCAGTTTCCTCAAACCTTGCCAGTACCCTACTAACCGTAGATTGCGTAATTGGTGGTCTGTCAGGGTACGTTGCATTAAATAATTGGCAAGCTTCTTGATGGGTTCGTAACTTATCGCCGAAACCAATCATCCTCAAAATATCAATTCTTTCGCGTTCACTAAGTTTTGCCATTTCGAATTAAACGATTTCACCAAAGAATGTTAAATCGGTACTGATTTTTAGTCTTCAATATTTCAGGTAATCTACTCCTTTCAAGTAAACATTTCTTTGGATCTTTTTTTTTTGGGGAATTTATCGGCAAACTCGAAGACAAAAAGTCGACCTTAATTTGCTACATACTATTTGGATTTTGTGCGGTTGAACTTGGTTCTAAATTTTGCAGTTTAATCAGGATCCTGACAATATCTGATGAATAATTCCGCAAATAATTACATAACACCAGTTGCAACTTAAGTTATGTTAAATGCATTCTGCCGAATAAATTTTTTTCTAAGGCATTTGATCCGTAAACAGCAAATTATTGCATTCAAGAATTTAAGGTGCATTTTTCTAAAAAAAAAATTGTTATGTAAGACATCGAAATTTTCACACCGTTGTTTAGATAAGTATCACTTTCGAACGAAAAAAATATGCGTTGGCATTTACAAAAAAAAATTATGTCATCGCCGCCGTAAGTGGATTATCGAAAAAAAAATTTTCCACATAACAAGGTGCCCTGGATCAAATGCAAATCGACGGGTCTCACCGTTTTTCGAAAAAAATTGTTTAATGAAAATATTAATTTTATGCAGAACTTTTTTACCACGCTGTATAGTAACATTCTGGCAAGATTATTCCAGTGAAATTTTGGTGAAAATATAGGTATAGTTGTTACGATATCAATTGGAACCTGTGAATCTTAAAGCACAGGACCGTCTGCACTTCTCTTGAAATTTCTTCCTATGCTTTAGCCATGATATGTCTCGTAATTTATACTCGAATGAGCGAGTCCGGTATTGGCAGACCAGTCTGCCTGATGTAGAATCGACGGCAGCGCGCTGGTCGTCAAAGTAAGCCTGTATTGGTCCACTAGGTCGTAAAAAATATTTTGCATGGTATTCTATAATTAGTTTGGTGTCGAAGGCTGTTCACTTGGCTTTACAAGTGCCGTGGAGAGTAGTACTTGGCGTGATATATTGTTGGTATAATACGCATTGTTAATTATTAGTTAATATTATTATTTGTTCATATCGTAAACAGTAAAGGGTAATAGTTATTAAAATAAATAGCATGGCAATAATTTAGCATGGCTTTCTGGAGACCCTTTTAAACAGAAGATAACGAAATAACCCGGGAAAATCCCCAAATAATCGAGCCGGCTTTTGTCGAAAGCGTCGAAACAAACTCAAAGAGTTTAAAAACAAAGATTTACACGTACAAAGTCAACGTATTATATTAAATATATATGAATGTTTGAAAAGAAGACAATGTGAAGAAATTAGGAAACGGATTAGTGAATTAACAATTATCAAAAGCGACAATTTATCGCGTAATTAAAGAAGGAGACGTTATTAATCACGGTACAAAGAGGAAACGGAAAAATATAAAACTAAAGAATATTGACGATTTCACCAGAGATGTAATACGGCGCACAATTTGTAATATGTATAAAGATAATAAAGTTCCTGCTTTAAACATGATTCGAGATAAATTAAGCGATTATTCTGATTATAATTATAAATTTTTAGATATTTTACATGTTTTATTACAATAATAAGATTTTAAACATATAAAACTTGACAATCGTATGGTAATTATGGAATCACGACGTTATAGTTGCACTTCGGGAATATTATTTACAAAAAATTGGATAATATCGCCAACTAAATAGGAATATAACTCGGAATATAGTATATCTAGACGACGCGACAGGGCGAAATTTTTCTGGACGCCTATGGATTCTGTAAAATTTATGAGTTATGTGTTTTTATGCGGTTCCAATTGAGATCGTAACAACTTATATAATCGAATATAAAACAGTATGTGAACTAAAACAAATCAAAATTTTCAAGGATTTGTTCATATTTTATTTAATATGTATATTACTGTATTAACTTAAAAACTTTCCACCTTCAATAATAATTAGAAACACGAAAAGATACATGTTGGAAAGATCGTAAATAGCCTCGAGTCATACCTAGCTTATTGCACCTCATTTTAAAAGTGTTTTATTTCTCTATAGAAATGCCGCAAGCAAGTGAAGTTTTATAGAAGTTATGAAAATACTGCCTGTATAATTTCGGTTACAAATTAGTTCATTTCTGCTTAAATCGCTGATGATGTCTTAATTCTTCTTAATCAACTTGAGAGAGATGATCTTATAAGATGAATAAGAGGGTGTTACGTTTTGTGTAGGTGTACGTCACACTGTAAGAAATTGGGCTTATTTTCACTCAATTTCACTCAATTTCTGTCCACCGGATTGAGTGAAATTTTCTTCTATTAGTACCTAAGAGTACAACTAAAATTTTATGAGTGAAACTATCACTTTTAGATCAAATAATATTATCAAAAATGTATAAAATTATCAAAATGCCCAGTATTGGCTGAAAATGTACTCAATAATTTCACTCAATAGATTCACTCAGCTTTCACTCAGACCGATTTATTTATAGTGCACAATCTAACTTTAATATTAAAC